AATATTTTCGGTGCGAAAAATGTGTGCCCGCGGCAAATAAGATTTCGTCGCGCAAGGTTAATGTAGCTCGCGCGACAGAAAATTCCGTCGCGCAGTTTTTTTTTGCGACGACCACTATTTCGTCGCGCAAATATTTGTGCGACGGACAATGAGGTCGTCCCGAAATGTTTTTTGAAACGAAGTTGTTATACGTAGCGCAAACTGCGCGACGAATGACATTTGTTCGTCGCGCAAATCCTTTCTTCACGAACTTTGCGCGACGGACTGTGCGCGACGAAACTTCTGTCGCGCATAATGATGTGAGACTAAAATCATTTTTGCGCGACGAATACCCTTTCGTCGCGCAAAGACTAAAATGTAGTAGTGATCTGCATTCAGACTTCAATCGTTATTGTCCCATTATATTCATTCATTCTCTAGTCTCGTGCATCCAGGAAGAAGCTGGAGATTCAGAAGATACGGGTCCTGATTCCATTCATTCATTCATTTTCGAGTCGTGCATTTCGAGTCATGCATCCAGGAAGAGGCTGCAAATTCAGAAGATACGGGCCTGTGACTCCAGCAGCGAGGATCAAGTATTTGGTGTACCAGGACCTTCAATTGTTCGATATCCATATGTTCATTCAATATGGTCTTCAATCTCTTTTTCTGCATCAAACAATTAAGTTTCAGCATACACACAAACAAAATTCAAGCAAACCAAAACCAAAATATATCTAGTTTCTTTAGACTACTTACTGGTTTGCGCCTAGGTGGTTGTAGTTTCATCATAGGCACTTTGGACTGCTTCTTGTGCCTCGTACCAAATGCGGGCTGTTCCAAAACAAATCACCACACTCGCCCAAGTCACAATATGCCCTTATTATATATTAAAAATATATTGCATGAAAATAAAGAAAACCAAGTCACACAAAGCACAGTGAATTACAAATGACCTAGGCATTTCATTCTTCCTGACACTTGCATTGCATTTATTGCCATGCTTGTCTGAATGATCATGCCTGTAAAATGACAAGAAGATCGAAACTAAGTTTGTTTGCTTCATTAAAACTTCTACTCTATATATGTAACTTCACATGGTCTTAAACTTAATTGAGAATCATAATTGCTTACGTGACAAATTGTTTGGGCCTAAATTCTGTGAAGCCCAGCCTATTTAAGTAGCCCACAAACATGAGCACAGCTTGGGCTTGATGTTTTAAAAGAAACTGAAGAGCAGCCCAAAATAGAAAAAGCCTAGACTAATTTCTCGAATTCTGCGAGCCCAGCCCAAAATTTATCAAACCCATGATAAATAAACAGTCTTGAGCTTTGAAGAAAAACAAGAGCAGCCCAATCAACATTAGAGGCTCATGTTGTTTGCAAAAGTGGCAGAGGTTTAAAAAACACAAAAAAAAAAAAAATCAATCAATCAATCAATCAATAAAATTGCCAATTAAAATGGTAATTCATCACCAAGCAGGTTGAAAACCTCTAAGAGATTGGATTAAAACTCAGCTTCTGAAGAAATTTTGCCACTTGATCTCAAAAGCAAGGTCTTTTCTTACTGAAAAAATGTTTTCCCAGAAGAGCCCCACGTGACTACCTGACTTTGAAAAAGTCAAAAATTTCAACTATCACAGAGGAGTTGACAGAGACTTAATGAAGGCAGGTATAAAAGGAAGACTTCTCTGAATCTTTACAGCCAAAAGATCAAAATCCATTTATACATACAGAGAAATTCTGCACCAGAGCAGATGTCATTTCCAAGGGATAAGCATACTACATTTTCTGAAGAGATACGTAGGGAGTAGGGAGTTGTTCGTCAGGAAAAGCAAACTAACCATCATGGTAGATTGCATTCTTACAAAGGGCAGTTAAAGAGTAAGAAGGGATTAAGTTTTCTTTCAGGAAAAGTAAGGAAGTGATCACCATAAGAACTGATTGCTGATAGCTTTTATGCCAGAATAGATAAACTTCCCCTTTTGTTTGCATTTAAAATAAAAGATATTTCTTTTGGAAAATCTGTCGCCCATTATCAAAATATTAGAAACCCCACTCCGGCATTTTCTATAAATATGAGAGGAGGTGAACAGATCAAAGACAACAAAAAAATCAATCAAGACAAAAATTCTCAAAGTCACAATTGACAAACTCAAAAAGATCCATTGATCTCAAAAGCCTTCAAACACTGAAGCAACCAAAGCTCATTGAGCCACAAGAAACAAGTCAGCTAGAATTCAAATCTCTGATTTCAGTTCAGTTCAGAGAAACAGTTTTACAAAGCGAGATTTCTCTTGTTACAAATTTGGTTCAGCATAAACCAAATCAAGCAGAGTCCGAGTTTTTACAAATATGAAAACCTCAACAAATTTATGGAAAGCCCTGATCAAGCAGAACATGTACCATAGTGCAGTTTCAGCTCAGTAATCATCAAATCCAGCCACTTCTGCCCTTTTTAGACTGAAGAGGCTCTAATTCTGCCAGTTCAAAAAGTCTTACAGGGCTTGAAATAGATTAAAGCTCTGCCAAACTCGAACGTTGGTATCGATTTACAGCTGAAACTTGATAGTTGAAGGTGTTGATGGTCCAATCCAGCACAAACATACCTAGTCCAGTCCAGATCAAAAGCAGCTATCCAGGCAGAAATTGAAGTCCAACGCTCTTTTGTCTTTTTTAGAGTTGGTCTTTCCCTTTTTGAGTTTTGTAAAAAGCAATTCTGCCTAAAACAGTTCACTTTCTTATCATTTATTCTGGCCAGAACTATCAGTTTTTGTACTGTGAAAAATTGTGAAGTCCTCACCAGTCTGAGGCAAGAACAGAACTTATTTGGGAAATATTCCTCACCCAAATTCACAATTGCTTGTTAAAAGTCAGTAACTTGGGGCGTAAGTTATCCATTTTAAAGAAGTCTACTAGGATTTTTATTGCTAGCAGTGGCACGCTCATACACAAAAGAAAGTTGACTTGTTGATCACCAATGGTTTTCAAACCAATGGGGAACTTTACCCTGCCATCACAGGATTAAAATCAAAATGGGATTTGTGGATAATCAAGCAGAGGGAAACAGTAAGTTTGTTTGGCCTTGATATCAACATGGACGACATGTTGATTGGAACCATAGTCTGAGACTAACATTTGGAACACCACTAAACGATTCCAGAATGCAGGATGCACATTCAACTTTAAATCAATTCCAAAATGCAGGATGCACATCAGGCCACCATCATCGAGATGGGTGATGAGGGTATAGCTATCGTCTAGAGGAGGACGAAATATCTTCCAAAGCTCATCTAGCTCTGAATACCGTCGAGGGATGCCATGGGAATCCAACTTATAAGTAAGTACAGAAGAACACGCTGTGCCAACTAGAAATCCCTCACATTCTGCAAAACCATAAGCGGATGCATCCAGGAATTCAAATGCATCCTCCCATTTCTCTTCATGAGTGTTAAAGATGTAATATTTGTGTGCCTCCCAACAGTTTGAAATCAAGATCTTGTGGCCCCAAACGTGCCAGTCGTTGGCAAAAATATTAGGAAATTCACGATGACCAAAGATGAATGGGATTGAAAACCTCAAAAAGGGCTAGAGATTTTTCTTCGACGGGCCCTCCTCGATACTCCGTGGCCAACACATAAATTTTGTCCTCGATGGTGAACACGAATGGATCCAATTAAGGACCAGACAATGCGGGAAGGTTACTCTTGCAGAGGCCCTCTGGATCATCAGGATTGGGTTCACACGCAAAAACCTCAAGGTTGGGCGGCTGCAAAGGAAAGCGACCCCCCACAATATATGATTTGGAATCCGCAATCATATATGCCATCTTAGTCGGCAATCTTCTTCCGTCTGGAAAACAAGAACCATGCACAAGCTTAAACTCAGGCCTTCGAGGCCTCTGAGACTTGTCCAAAGAGCTCCATGCCAATAATTTACTGATATCCAGAAAGCATAGGTTATCGTTCATCTGCATATACATAAACGGATGCTTCTTCGGCATGATTGATCTTATAAAATTGTTCCTTTCCTTTTGCGTCAACCAACCTGTCAATGAAAGAGTTTTTAATTATTCAACTGCTCAACAGCAACAGACGAACGCAATCCTAGATTATTAGGTTTTGGTTTTACAAAAATTGACTTGCAAAATGTCCAAACAAAGTAGGTAATTTATAAAGAATTATAAAGATGTGTTAACCTTAAATACATTAGGAAATAAATTTAAATTACAATAAAAAATAAATCTCAATAATAAGTAAGTAACCAATAAGAACTCGCCAACACAAAAACTGGAGGGGTTTTAGTTTTACAAGAAAACAGAGATTTGCTAGGAGAGATTGACAAAAAGAAAAACGAACCCTAGATTACAATAATTAATTGCAATTTGCATGCATACAACCAACACCAACTCGTAAAAGTCTGAAAGGCCAACCTAATTATTTATATATTATTTCTCCACGGCCGTGCGCCCTAATTGCAGATAAACGAAATTTCAACAATCACGAGAAGTAGGAAATTTACTATGAAATCTGAAGCTTATAATACCTGCAGATCACCATAGAAAGCAATCCCACCCACGCGTGGCAAACTGATGGGAGAGATGAGATGAATATATTATATATATACGAGCCCTCAACTGAAATCCTATCTTTATATATTTACATGCAAGTACAATTCTTGGAGAGAAAATGAAGGAGCTTATTAATCTACTTGCGTATGTGTTGAAAACCAAATTAATTTTAACCCGATTTGAAATTGACCCTTTTTTTATTTATTTAAATCAAGGATATATCCATGGCCAATAATTTTTAAAATATCGTCCAATTTTCTATCAATAGTAAAAGAAAATTGGTAAATTTCAGGACAATAAAAACTAAATATATAAAAGTTGTAAAAATTTAAAAATAAGAATATATTTTTAAGAAACAAAGAAAAAAAAATTCCACCCAACCTCTCATCCTCTTCGATGTGTTCCTTGTATGTGTCGAAATTTAGGGCTAGGGTAGGGCTCCCAACGGCGAGATCATCGGGAAGGAGCATTGGAGATTTTGGAATTTGGGGAAGTTGAAAAGTTATTTACACTAAGACCTCCTAAGGTTTATGGTATTTTCACAAGACCCTTTAGATTTTAGAAATTGTACTAACACCTTGAGGTTTCAAATTATTTTCACAAAACTCATTCCTTTTATTTTCCAGTCGAAAAATTGATGATTTTATTCAATAAACTTCTTGAAATGACAAAATTAATCTCAACAATTAGACCTCTGGGGGGTGTGTGTATCAAATCTTTGAGTTTAACTTTATTATTTGGAGAAATATTTTTTTAATTTATGTCATTAGCAATTTTTAGGTGGAAAATTAACTTGCACGTTCAATTTCAAACGTACTTTTGTTTTCATCAAGTGTTCAAACTTAAAGCTTCTAATATATTAATAGAATATAGCTCTTAATCACGTGGGTGCAAGAGGGATTTTTTAATCACAGTTTATAAAATATTATTAGTTTCTTCTTTTTTTTCGGCGTAAAATATTGAGACAGACATCTAGAAAACACAGGTGATAAAAGAAAACTTTTAAGACGACTATCTAGAAAAATACAATTGCAAAATTAGAAAAAGAAACTTTGTAAGCCACACACACAGACATGTACATGTTGGAAATTAGGAAGTGTCTTTATTTTCTTTTTTGTAATTGATTTAGGAGTAGTCTCCAAGTAAACCTAGGATTCCTTGTAGGGTTTGTAAATCTTTGTATAAATATTTAGCCTTTTGGCTCTATTAATATAACGAAGAATTGTTCTTCTCAAACACAATATCAATTTGACATGGTATCATAGCACCGATTCTAGGTGTCTCTTTGTTTACAAACCCTAGCCGTCTAACTCTTCATAGGTGACACTAGCAAAACCTCCGAAACAGAAACCATGGATCATACTGATCCCTACTTCTTGCAATACTCGGATCATCCGGGGCTTGTTATTGTCCCAACTTCTTGATGGAGATAATTACAGCACATGGCGCCACACAATCACCATTAGTCTTAGTGCCAAAAACAAATTAGGGTTTGTTTTGTTTTTGGCACTATCAAACCTCTCTCTGAAAAAGATTCCAAATACCCCTTATGGCGTTGCTGCAATGATATGGTGATGGCTTGGCTGTTGAATGTCATCTCCCCAGCCCTTGCTAACAGCATCATCTATGTTGACACCCATACTGAAGTTTGGAGTGATCTGCATGATAGATTCTTTGTTGGCCATCACACTTAGACCTGGCAATATCGTACACGACCCGTTAACACGACACGAATTCACCAAAAAAAAAATTAGTATTCGGTCCTACGTTATCGTGTCGTGTTGATATCATGTTAACCCGTTAGCCACACATTAAGATAACGTGTCGTGTCTTGTCAATTCACAAATACCCGTTAAGATCAGGGGTATTTTTGTAATTTCATATTTGTCTTTTTGTGTTTTCTTTTCCCCTTCTCTCTCCCCAACTTGTTAGACAACAAGAACATATTCACTCAGTTAGCTAGCCATGGCTTCCTTGTTCAGTATCAAACTATTCACTTGAGCAAATATCACCATCACCTTTCCCGTAAAAAAGAATTGAAATCCCCATCCCCATATGCAATAAGGGTGGTGGGTTGGGTGACATCCAAGCCGAAAGAGGTAGCAGCTAGGTGAGTAGTCAATTGAGATTTGTTCTTCTTAGAGATGGCACCGATGCTACTGCTTTTCCTTTGCCTATAGAAACATTTCATATTTATATTCCCTGGTTTTGATCTTGTTGCTATCCCTTAACACCTCTCTCTCTCTCTCTCTCTCTCTCTCTCTCTCTCTCTAGATCTATTTCCTCCCCACCAAAGACATTGCACGCTAGATTCTTTTTTATTATTTATATAATTATTTTTGTTTTATGTTTTATTTTATTATTATTATTTATTTTATTCTTAACGAGTGAAAACGGGTCGTGTTCGTGTTTGATATTTTTCACTTGTTTTCTTAACGTGTCGTGTTGTGTCAACCTGTTAAGAAAAACAAGTTGACTTGAACATTGCAAACATGACAAGAATGCTAGGATTAATCTCACTCTTGTTTTTTAGATTCGAAGGACCATCGCTGAAAACATACAAGGGCAGCAAATCTTCTGCCAATACTACACAAAATTGAAATCCCTTTGGGATGAATTGGGCTCTTATCAACTGTACCACACTACACCTATGGAGCTTTAAAGGTATTGCAAGCACGCAAGGATGAAGAGCAAGTTGTACAATTTTTTATGGGTCTCAATGACTCATAAACAACCATTCGAGGCCAAATTTTATTGATGCAATTTGTCCCTTCTTTAACAAGGCTTATTCCATGATTATGAAGGAGGTGTTGGCGTGTGCGTGAGTTCAGGAAAGTGATTTCCTAATTAGTGTAGTTGACTAATTCTTGTACAATTAGGACTTTGTTTCCTAGTTTATTTTGTTTCCTTGTTAAGCCTGTAAAACCCTATGTAAACATATAAATAGTTCATTATGGAGATGAATAGAATTGAATCAGTTTTACCTAAACATATATTTCTACTTGGTATCAGAGCCACCGATCTGGTGATTTCTTGTTTATCCCAAACCCTCTAATTGAATTCAAACCTATATTGAGTTCATACGTTTTTCATCCATCCTCCACATATATTGAGTTCATACTTCCACACCATCAATTTATGCTGCGATGACAACACCCGAGGCATCCCTTGTTCTCCTGCATAGTTCTTAAACCTCCGCTATGATGGATCCGACGAATCTCAAGTTTACAAATTGAACAGGAAGGCATTCACCCTCAAACAGAATGGCCAACCTGTTTCCAAATATTATAGCATGCTTCAGAGTTTTTTTTTCAGGAACTGGATCATCGCGACCCCCCATCTATGGTGTGAGCTGCTGACACTGATGCATACCAGAAAAAACTCGACCGTCTTCGAGTTCATATTTTTCTTTCTGGATTGGATCCCGACTTTGATCAAGTCCGTAGTGAAATCCTCCGCAAGGAACCTAAACTGGATCTCGACCAAAGTTTTACTTCTGTTCGTCGTGATGCACAACAACGCGCCAATTTTACTGGTGCTGCCGCCTCTCTTGATGCTACTGTCATGGTGGCTCAACGTTCTAAGGGACCACCTTCATCTCATAGGAGTTCCTCGACCCAGGGGGTGAAGGACAAACCAGTTTTCAAGTGCACTCATTGTGGTGGTTCAAAGCACACTCGTGAACACTGTTATGAATTAGTTGGCTTTCCATCTTGGTGGGATCATTCTAAGAATAAAAGAAGTGGTCATAAGGCACTCCAAGCCTCTGCTACTCCAGAGACCCCCCTGTAAGTGGCAACAAATCAAATGAACATACTTCTGCATCTGCGTCCATGGCTACATCAGGTTCAACCGGTTATGCATTGAATGTTTCTTCCACCTCACCCACCAATAATGTCTGGATTATTGATTCAGGCACCTCTGATCATATGACATGTGATTCGAATAAAATCACATCTTTGTCTCCATTTTCACAGTCGGTAGTATCTAATGCTAACGATAATTCCTCTCCTGTTGTTGGAGAGGGTTCTTTATCCCTTACAGATTCGTTGCACCTGGATTCAGTACTTGTTGTGCCGTCATTGGATTTTAATTTGCTATCTGTTGCGCAAATTACTCATGCTCTTTTTTGTACTATAACGTTTTGGCCAAATTGTTGTATTTTTCAGGACATCCTCACAAGGAAGATAATTGGTTATGGTACTAGAAGGGGCAATCTGTATTTTCTGAATTTGGCACCAAGTGGTGAGACTCAGATTTCTCAAGCATTCAAGACTAGTGGAGATCCGACCGAGAAAAATCATAATTTTATTTGGTTGTGGCATAGACGGTTGGGTCATGCCTCCTTTAGATACCTTAAAAAGTTGTTTCCTTTATGGTTTAGTAAACTTTCATATTTTAATTTTAAGTGTGATGTTTGTGAATTGGCAAAAAGCCATAGAGTTTCCTTCCCTTTGAGTATGAATAAAAGTACGGTGCCGTTTACAATTGTTCATTCTGATGTTTGGGGTCCTGCTCCAATTTCTACTCCTTCTGGTGCTCGTTGGTTTGTTACCTTTATTGATGATTGCACACGTATGACTTGGATTTCTCTCTTAAAAACCAAGGGGGAGGTGTGTATCACATTTCAACAGTTTTACAAGATGGTAGACACTCAGTTTCATGTAAAAATTAAGATCCTTCGTTCTGATAATGGGGGTGAATTTGTGAATCATGATCTTTGTCAGTTTTTAGAAGCTCATGGAATTGAACATCAAGGAACTTGTCCATATACCCCTCAGAAAAATGGGGTAGCAGAGCGCAAAAATCGTCATTTGTTAGAAGTGGTTCGAGCTTTATTGTTTGATGCTCAAATGCCTCGTTTTTTTTTTGGAGAAGCAGTGTTTTCTGTTGCGTATCTTATTAATTGGGTTACCTCCAGTGTCTTGAACTTCCAAACACCATTACAAACCCTTCGTCAGTTTTGTGCTCTTCATTCCACTCCTAATTTGGAGCCACGAGTCTTTGGATGTGTAACTTTCGTTCACCTTTATACACATCAGTGCAATAAGTTGGAGCCTCGAGCACTTAAGTGCGTGTTTATTGGCTATGCCCAACATCAAAAAGGGTATCACTGCTATCATCCACCTACTCAGAAGCTCTACATCACTATGGATGTGGTTTATCGAGAAGAAGAAATGTATTTTTCTGGGGGTGTTCAGGCACAGGTGAGTCCAGATACTGTTGATGATCAGTTCGACCTGGAAGGATTTGTTACTTTGAAGTCGTTATGTCATCCAACAGTTCAAAATGCACTAACCGACTCGTCAGATACCACTCCAGAAACTATGCACGAAAGTCTTGATGACCAGTCATAGTTGGTCTCCTCACCCACAACCCAGTCACCCAGTTAGGGGGAGAAGAATGATGTATTGATGCCCGTTTCTGAAGTTTCTGTACCATTTAACCAATTATCTTCTGAGGTGTCTTTTGAACCTACAACACAGGTAACATCCCAGAACATTGATGTTGAAGATTTATATTTAACTGATTTGTTTTCAGACAATCCATCTAATGAGATACATCTACAACCATACCAATTACCTGTTCATAAGAATCGTGGTATCCCAAAGATTCAATATGAAGCGGATCCCAAAGCTAAAATGAAGTACCCGATTAGCAACCATGTTTCCACTCATAGATTGTCCGTACCACATGCCATGTTGATCAAACAACTAGATTCTTTGTCTACACCAAGCAGTGTAGAAGAGGCTTTGATGGATCCAAACTGGAAACAAGCGATGAATGATGAGATGCAAGCTCTTCAAAAAAATTCTACATGGGAACTTGTTCCTCTCCCAAGTGGCAAACAAACTGTGGGTTGCAGATGGATTTATACCATTAAGTTGAAGGCAGATGGATCAATCGAACGGTATAAAGCTCGATTGGTGGCAAAAGGATATACTCAAAGATATGGAGTGGATTATCAGGAGACATTTGCTCAAGTAGCAAAAATCAATACTGTACGAATCCTGATATCACTTGCTGCAAACTTGGATTGGCCATTACACCAATTCGATGTCAAAAATGCCTTTTTACATGGTGATTTAGAAGAAGAAGTTTATATAGATCCTCTGCCTGGATGTAACTTGAGTTCTGAATCGAAACACTATGTGTGCAAATTAAAGAAGTCTTTATATGGTTTGAAACAGTCACCTAGAGCATGGTTTGGGCGGTTGACAAAGTCTATGAGGGCATTCGAATATAAACAAAGTAATTTTGATCATACTTTGTTCTTGAAGCATAAGGAAAATAAAATTACAGCTTTGATAATATACGTTGATGATATGATCGTAACAGGTGATGATCCTGACGAAAGAAAAGCATTGTAAGAGTACTTATCTAAGGAGTTTGAGATGAAAGATCTTGGTACACTTAAGTATTTTCTTGGGATAAAAGTATCTAGATCACAGCAAGGTATCTTCTTGTCTCAACGAAAATATGTTATGGATTTATTAACTGAAACAGGGATGTTATGGTGTAAACCAGTTAATACGCCTATGGAGGAAAATCACAAGCTTGGTGAGTGTACTGATCATAAACCAACTAACAAGGACCAATACCAGCGCCTGGTTGGGAGGTTAATTTATTTGTCATATACGAGACCGGACATTACATATGCTGTGAGTGTTGTAAGCCGGTTTATGCACTCTCCAAGTGAAGTCCATAGAGATGCAGTGAATCGCATCTTGAGATATTTGAAATCAACTCCTGGTAAAGGGTTAATGTATTCAAAGCAAGGACATCTGGATGTAATTGGGTATACAGATGCGGATTGGGCTGGGTCCCAAACAGACAGACGATCCACTTCAGGTTACTTTACTTTTGTAGGAGGTAACCTTGTTACTTGGCGTAGTAAGAAACAAAATGTTGTTGTAAGATCAAGTGCGGAGGCAGAATATAGAGGTATGGCACATGGTGTTTGTGAGTTGTTATGGATTAAGCATGTTCTAACGGAGTTAGGTTTTAAGCCTTAAAAACCCATGAAATTATATTGCAATAATATTGCGGCCATTAATATTGCTCATAATCCAGTTCAACATGATCGAACGAAACATGTTGAAGTGGATAGGAATTTCATCAAAGAAAGATTAGAAGACAAGACACTTCAGTTCCTGTTTGTAAAGTCAGAAGATCAGTTGGCAGATATCTTGACGAAAGCAGTTTCAAGCCGAGTATTTCAGGACACGCTGAGCAAGTTGGACCTTGGTGACATTTATGCTCCAACTTGAGGGGGAATGCTGGCATGTGCGTGTGTTCAGGAAAGTGATTTCCTAATTAGTGTAGTTGACTAATTCTTGTACAATTAGGACTTTGTTTCCTAGTTTATTTTGTTTCCTTGTTAAACCTGTAAAACCCTATGTAAACATATAAATAGTTCATTATGGAGATGAATAGAATTGAATCAGTTTTACCTAAACATATATTTCTACTTGGTATCAGAGCCACCGATCTAGTGGTTTCTTGTTTATCCCAAACCCTCTAATTGAATTCAAACCTATATTGAGTTCATACGTTTTTCATCCATCCTCCACATGCCATGAACACACTCATCTAACGTCGCTCATGCCATGAACGTGAGTAACAAAATGTACAAGCCTCCTAGATCATCCTCCTCGAGCAACTCCAAAGTACAACAGACCAACTCTTCCAAACAAACTGCTCAAAAAAGCAACTGACGCCAACCTCTCTTTTGCACCTATTGTGAGGATACCACCCATCTGGTTGATAGATGTTTCTATTTACATGGCTTTCCACCTGGGCATAAAATTCATGGCAAATATGTTAAGCTACCCAATCAATCAAAGAAACCATCCACGGCAAATCAAACACAATCCACTCCACTACATGCCAAAGAAGGTTTCAAATTTTCCTTTGAGGAGTATGCTAAACTTAAGTCTTTGCTTTGTGATGGTAAAACTCGTGCTAATTTAATAGGTAAAATGCCTTTCTTTTATGCCTTCAAGGCCCCATCATCCACAAATCCTTGGATACTTGATAGTGGAGCCATCGATCACATTGCGCCTCTTTCCGGGCTATCTGTTACTACCTCACTCAACTCCACTATTGATCTTCCTAATGGGTCCCATGCAAAAATCAGTGGCCTTAGTTCCTTATCCTTGGTTCCAAACTTATCTGTTGATGAAGTTCTTTGTGTGCCTTCCTTTCATGTTAATTTACTTTCTATTAGCAAACTTACATTTAGTCTTAATTTTTCTATTCAATTCTTTGTTACCTTTTGTGTCTTACAGGACCTGGCTTGGAAGAGGATGATTGGCCTGGGGAAACAATTTAATGTCTTATACTACTTGCTTATGAAAGAGAACGCCACCACTCCACCATCCACATCCAACGCCACCGCATGTCACCTCAATCTCAAATCCATTGCTGAATATGTACACTATATGCGCTGAATATTTGTAGTAGTTTCAGTTTCAGCCCATCAAGCTGTTATGGATTTTATGTTTTGGTGTTTTTGAGTTTGTTTTTCTATACAATTTCTCGAATTTTACTCTAATGTTTAAAGAAAGCAAACTAGTTGATTAGGAAATCACAATAAAAGTGTAGTTATGTTAGATACCATTGTACTTAATATTGTTTTAATATCAAATATGTACATACTGTAGATATGAAGAGGACATGTAGAGGTACTACTGAGGCTGCATCATCTCGACGTGATAGTTGGAGAACAAGTATGAGAAATAAGTCTGACTCGGATTGTAGGAACGTATATTGTTATGATGGGTCTAGTGATAAGATTTATTCTATATTTTAAATGTTCTTTGTCCTTAACAGTAATTACATATTAGGGTAAAATAGATTATTCATTTTTAAAATTAGTGTTAGACCAAAAAATAGGATTGATGGGTCCAAATAAAATTACCCTAAAATTAAGTGTGATAAGCAAAAATATGGAGGAAAAATTTACTCATTATATTCCCCTTTTAGAATTTGATAAATGAAGTGGATCAAGTGAAAGGCCACGTCACTGTACTAAATCCAGCCCCGACCACGACCACAACCTACCACTCTAAATATTCTTTAATTAATTAAATTCCCATTATAAATTAAAAAAGATAAACAAATTCAATCAATCTTTTACGATTTCTTTTGATTAAAAAATTCGAAATACGAGAATCTCATCAGATTGAGCCTCCTCCTTTTTCTCTCTCTTTACCTTCTTCTTCTCTGTTGTTCAATCTTACAGCTCACCTCAGATCGCTCACTGCAACAGTGCTTTGCTCTGCTTAAGGCAAAGCACCTCTGCGTTTGTAAGTTTTTGCCTTTTCATCTTTGTCTTTTGCTTTTCAATTTATTCCAAATCAATCGATTCGAACGTGCCTCTTTCCAATTTACTTCTCCTTTCTTTCTATTTCTCTTTGATTCTCGGCAACCAAACACATGGCTTTTTCGTTTTTCATTGCTGTTTACGGTGTTCGCATTCGTATCTCAAAATGTTGATCTCATTAGGGTGTTGATTCCAGTGAGTTGCTGCTTTTTGCTTCTCTTTTATTTTCTCAATTATCGGCAACCAAATGGACTACATGTCTTTTTATTTATTTATTATTATTATTTGTTCATTTCCTTTGGATTTGAATGTTATTGGATCATCTAGTATATTAAAATTATCAATTCATGATGATTTCGTCTTCTTGCTGGGTATTTGTTCTGTTTTGGTGTAATTTTTAACTCCTCCTATGCGGAATTTGACTGAATGTTTTGTTACACCCATAGTTTATTCCGAGCTAGTTCTTTGCTGTGTTTGGTTGCCGAGAAAACTGATGGTAAAACCGGGAAAGGACAAAAGTAATTCTTAATTGTAATCTTTGACTTGTGTTTGTTATATAGTTTTTGTGCAAGTTTTAAGTATATGTCTCCTTTGGTTTTTTGGGTTCTGAGATGGAAATGTGTTTATGAGGATTCTTGTCCTGAGGTCCAAGGACTTCAGTGGTTGTACAAGACTGAGTTTCGTTTCAGAAATAAAATTTCTTTTCATGTAGCCTAAAAGGAATAACATTTCCTTTTACTTTCAAGGATATAGTGTTTAACAACCCCAACCATATCTTGAATATGCTGCACATGGTTTCATTGCTCTTATTCCATTTACATTTTGGGATTGCCTTAACTATGCAGAGATCTGTGTTTTAATTCACCCTTCTGGGCTTGCACTCTTGATTATTATCTTATGCTTATGATTTTGCTTCTATTAGGGTTCATGACATTTGCAAGACAGTGCATGCCTTTGCGTGCTAATGACTATAGAACAGAATGTATTCGGAGAGACTCTCTGGTGAAGAATCTCTTCGCCAAGATTTTGAAGCTTTGAGTGTGTCAAAGCGTCTGATGAGAAGTGTTAGCCAGAAGTTGAGGAAGAAGAATCAGAGACCTGGAGGAGAAGAGGAGGATGATGCCAGGGGAATATCTTTGAGGTGTCTTACTCTGTATGGTAGGGGTGGGGGTTGCAAAGTAGGTGCTGACACAGGGGATGATTTTGGGGATCCGAGTAACCGGAGGAGGTCAAGTGCCAGCGATGAAGGCAAGGGATACAGACCGATATGTGGTACCGAGGAATCTGGAATGGACTGCTTCTCGTATGGGGTAAGGGAGAGATTTTGGAAGAAACATAACAGAAAGGATTTTGAGCTTGAAGAATCAATAAGAAATAGCAGAATGCACATTTTTCTTCCAGATGACATATTGGAAATGTGCTTGGTGAGGCTCCCGCTAACCACTCTCATGACTGCACGCCTTGTATGCAAGAAATGGAGACACTTGACTACTACTCCTCGGTTCCTGCAGATGAGACGGGAAGGCTCACATCAGAATCCATGGCTGTTTATTTTTGGTGCTGTTAAAGATGGTTATTGCTCTGGTGAGATTTATGCATTGGATGTGTCTCTAAGCCAATGGCATGTGATAGGTGCTGATATTCTAAAGGGGAGGTTCATGTTTTCTGTCGCTAGTATCCAAGATGATATTTACATTGTTGGTGGTTGCTCAAGCTTGAACAACTTTGGGAGGGTGGATAGGAGCTCATTTAAGACACACAAAGGGGTAATGCTGTTCAGTCCCTTAACTAAATCTTGGCGTAAAGTTTCACCTATGAAGTTTGCAAGATCAATGCCTATTTTAGGAGTTTCTGAGGTCACTTTAGATTTTTCCACCAGTCAAAGTTATCAAAATCGCCAAGATAGACGTATTCCCAGATCACGGTTAGGTGGAGTGTCAGATGTTTATGAAGATCCTCACAGGCTTTCTCTTAGGCGTCAATGCAGATATGCTGTTGATGAAAATGAGTCTTCGTTGTTGCCCAATAGAAAGTCATATAAATTTATAAAGCAGAAAAGTGATCACTCATCCATGAAGAGTCATAGAAGGTTTGTGATCATTGCTGTAGGCGGTCTTGGATCATGGGATGAGCCTTTAGATTCTGGAGAAATATATGATTCTGTCTCTAAGAAATGGACAGAAATTCAAGGGTTGCCTGTGGACTTTGGGATTGTTTGTTCTGGAGTTGTTTGTAATGGGATGTTTTATGTTTATTCCGAAAGTGATAAGCTCGCAGGATATGACATAGAAAGGGGTTTCTGGATTGGAATCCAAACCTCTCCTTTCCCACCCCGTGTTCATGAATATTATCCAAAATTAGTATCTTGTAATGGCCGGCTTTTCATGCTCTCTGTCTTCTGGTGTGAAGGGGATGGTCAGATAGGCCGGAGAAACAAGGCTGTTAGAAAAGTATGGGAGCTGGATCTCATGTACCTTAACTGGACCGAGGTCTCAGTGCATCCTGATGCTCCAATGGACTGGAATGCTGCGTTTGTAGCAGACGGGAACATGATATTTGGCATTGAGATGTTCAAAATATTTGGTCAAGTATTGGATTTTTTTACTGTATGTGATGTGTCTGATATGGAGATGAAATGGAGTCATATCTCAAGGAACCATGTAACCCATGAACTGGATGCTTCTTCGTGCTTGACTAAATCAATGGCTGTACTACATCTGTAAGTGCACAGCTTATAAAGTTTTCCGCGCATGGTAATTCGCAGAAACAGAAAATTACACGCATGATCTTGAACTCTCACTCACGAGCACTTTGGGCGTACCTGCTACTGGCAAATTTGATGTTGAATCCTCTTGGTGTAATCATTTCGTATCCTGGTGTAGATTTGAATGGAGGTTCTTAATAAAAACCCTGAATAGAGAGATAAGGTATGCTCATGTAGTCTTGGATGTTATTTGTTCACCAACATTCATAAAATTGATTCTGTAATTTATGTCTCCCGTATGTTAATTGTTTCCACCTCATGTGTTGTAACTATATTGAATTTGGTCCTGCTGTTATTATTTCTAAAATGAGCATCAAGATTTTTGGGCACTTTTCAAGCCTCTTAAAATTTTAATAGGGTTGGGTTCCCTTTGGCTCTGGTTGTCAGCGGTGCAGAATGCACGCTGGATACACGGAGATGGAGCATTCTGATTCCAATCCGTTCGGTGATATGCATAGCCTGCTAACAAAATATTTGCTTTATACAAACAATTTTTATATATTTATTGGTTAATTTATACCGGTCCATTCTTATTGTTATAACTGTGTAGTGCTCATATAATCAAAATGAGTTTTAAATCTCAGGCATCAATCAAAGTATGTTTTGATGACATGGGGGACATCAGAACTTCATTTCAAAGGTCAAAAGCGATACCAGTCTCTGAAACATATGGTAAACCAAGATTATTAAGTTTACTAAAAAAATTATCTTTGAAAGCATAAAACAAATTTAGAATTTAATACCCAAATGCTACACAAAAACAAATGCTACACAAAAAGCAGTTCATGAGCAGAACAGAAAGTTGATGGACAAATCATCCTTAGAAACAATGAACAGCTTTCAAAACAAATGAAAAATCAGTATACAACAATATATACCCTCCATTTGCAGCTTCGCAAACCATAACAATACCAGTGGAAGATGCCTATCCTACGTTTGGAAAGACACCAGAGAAGTTTGGTAACCTGTCAACATGCTTCAGGGCACGTTCAGCAATCTGTCGAGTTCGATAGTCAGCATGCTGGAAGGCATCTACAAGTGCAGTACTGACATTTGGATCTCCAGAAACTTCATACGCTATCTCATCACTCCGCAATAGTCTCTCAACTACCCAGACTGCCCTCCTCCTCAGGTTCTCTGTCCGTTTCTCTAATAGCACGTCAAGAATAGGTTTCACCCCCTCTGCCTCACACAACAGCATAACACCTTGTTCGATATCAACCCCATCATCCAACAAAGTAGAGAGTGCTGCAAGTGCTGCTTCAACCACCTTCTCATTTGTGTGGTCAAGAAGAGCCACCAATTTGTCCACTGCCTGTCCCTCCAAGAGACAAAAACTTTCTTTAAGTGAACATGTCCCGCGGTGGAGCCGACACAATCCATTTATGGCAGGTTGTTGGCTAAAACACGGAAAGATTGAGGCACAAAAACCAGGTGTAGGCAACTCAGGCAATCTTGTCAAATTTTTGGATTCTTGTGATAAGTTCTCCAATGCTGTGGCAGAACTCATCTGTACATTGTCCAGTCCATTGGTTTGTAGAAGTTCAATGAAGAGTGCGGCAAGATTAAGCTCACGACACAGTGCAATTGCATCTTGCTCATCAGCTAACACAAGTGTAACCCTTGCTAGAACCCGTACAAGTCCTTCTAGAAATGGTGTCACAAAGCGACCGCCCTTACTCCCCCCTTGCCGGATCTTAACTACTCTGGAATACACTAGCTTAAAGGCACCATCATCTAGCATCTGCCGGGCGAGGCCTAGATCCCTCTCCGGAAGTTCAGCTAAGAGGCCGATGGCTGCTGCTTGTTCGTCAGTGATTGAAATATTTTCCGATATGACTTTAATTAGGCTGCCAAGTTGGCCCACTGTGCCACGTAGGGCATCAGCTAGTTCCTGACCAACATGTGGGGAGAGGTTCTGGAGAAGTTTAATGGAAGCCACACGCAATTCCTTTTGTGGAGCCTCAATAAACTGTACCAAACTAATAATGGCACCGGAGCTCTTAATGGCGGCAACGACACTAATAACAGTAGAAGGAGAGGTAGTGAGTCCAACAAGAACTTGGAGAAGCTTGCTCTCAATTGCTGGGCCAGTGTTGCTAATGAGATGTAGTAGGTTATGGACTATGTCTTCTGAGACTAGTGTCTGGTGATCAGGTCCAACCAGGATGGAATCAAAATCATAATCTGAGTTAACGACATTAGCAAGAATTGTTGCAGCAACCTCTTTCAGTCGCATAGGAAGCTGATTAGTCCCAACGGTAAAGAGATCTTTGACCAGAGACGGAAGTATTCCTGCCTCTATCAGCACCTTGGCACTCGCCTCACAAGATGAAATTTGGTTGAGAGCTTTCAAGGCAGCTTCTCTTGACTGCATATTACCACTTCTCAAGATATTGATCAAAGATGAACCCACACTTTTAGCCACTAAGACCTTTATATCATTGTCCAAAACTAGCTCACCAAGGAAATTAGACATGGAAAGTTTGGTTTCTGGAGGGCCTGCAATCATATCATCAAGGAAAATAAGAGTTGATGCTCAACACATTAACCAGAAACATATTGTGTTTCATCTGAGAAATTTAAAAATGAGTATCTTGGTTTAAATTACCAAAACAAGAAAAGAGAAGTACAGCTCAAACTTATGCTAAAAGTCCATTAGACCAAGAAGTAAACAAAGACTGGACAACTACATTAAGTATTATAGTAAACAACAAATGGAAATTTCCCCATAAATACGATGAATTGACTTAGATCAAACACCACAGCAGAATATAATTCAACATGATTTTTTTTACTTCTCAAACAAAGACAATAAAGAATGGTTATTTTCCACATTTGCAGCCACGTGGCCCATGTCTAAAAGTGAAAGAAATTAACCAAGGAGCATTGGCGGTTTGGCTACGTTACTTTTAGCAACATGCTGAGCAAAGTCTAAAGATAAAAGAAAGTGTAAGTACCTTCACGAATTTGTGTCAGAAGAGGCTGCAGTCTACCATTTTCAGCCATCTGTCTCACATTGTTCTCACACTTCTCCAGATTCTCTAAAGTTTTTTCAGCATTCTCAACAGTCAAAATGTTATCTGATTTGCTGGTTGTCATTCCAACCAACATAAGAATCGCCCCATTAATTGAACCAATCTTCTCACATAAGGCTTCAGATTTGGACAGCTCATACAGCAAAGAGACAGCTTCCTCCCTCTCTTTGGATTGCTCGTGAGACAAGAACTTCACTATAGTGCGTACAGTATCCCCATCAGCCAATATTTCCTACAACCAATGAGAACTTAATACGAGGTCCTAGATGCTCGTAATTTCATAGAAAATGAACAGAGAATAAGAAAAATATAGTATTACCTTATTATCAGAATCTTCCTCCACCACAGTTTTAAGGGTTTCCAAAGATTTACACCTTACTTTACGGCTGCCATTCTTCAACATGTCAACCATCATGGGTATCAGCCCTGCATTGCGTGCAACATGCTTATTTGATCTGCTTTTCTGGCAGATTTGCTGGACATACTTCAAGGCCAAAAGAACTTCACTTTCTGAGCTGCTCGGATTCAATGACTTACGAGCCATATCAAGCTGAGCAGCTTCATTCCTAGCATTCCACTCTTCAATGGTGTTCCTCAAAGCTATGCTAGGCTTTAGATCAGCAGTTTTCAATTCTTTTAGTGTCAGCGGGCAGACCAACTTTCTTCCACTCTCCTTGCATTCTCTAAACCACTTTTCAATTGCTTCGCGCTCAAATGTTTGCCCATTTTCTAAGGTAACAGGATCACGCATAACTTGCTTTGTTAAAGGGCAAAAAAATGCATCATAAATAGGTTCAATGTGCAATCTCTCAAATTTATAGCTGTCATCTGACTGGCTACCAGTGTCATAATTTCCATGCCAACTTTCAGCCATCTGACCTAAATCTCCTACTGCACCAAAGTAAGATAGCATAAGGTTAAGTAACATACTAACAATCATAAAACAAGTGGTTAAACTAAACTAATTTTGAAATTAAACGAGAATCTAAAGGAACTGGTGAAAACTGTTTGGGAAGTGAACTGAACATTCTTCAAACTCCATTCCAATGTAAAAAGTATATAGCAGCTTTTGTATTGTATGAATGTTCTAGAAAAAATTATAAAAGAACAGGTCAATGAGACACCAGAGCAGCTCTTTTTCAGCAAAATACCATGTTACACACAAGAATTTCAAAGCCAGAATCAAACATTCCAAATCTCCTATATCAGGCAGATCATTAAAACTATTATGTAGAATCACAACTGTATGTGTTTGGGTTAAAGTTGGTAGGGAAGATGTCGATGAAACGCCTATGGCTTGATGCAGTTTTTATGGAATACACGCACTGGCACAATATTGGAATTTGATTACCCAGTTCAACTAAAGAGGTAGAGACCAAAGTAAAAATACACAATAAGAAAGATAAAGCGCAACAAGTACTTACCCAGTTAGAATGAGGTCTAAGAAACTGCAAATTAAGCTATGTCAAATGGTGGATACAGATTTATTATCGGTCAAAGCAGGTTTTGATTTGATTCGATTTGAATAATCTGATGCCTAGGTGTATACCTTCCAGGTAATTCAGATAGAATTAACAAACGCTTATATAGTTGCTAATGAGGACCATGTCTAATTAAGTTTTGATCAGGAGCAACCCAGAAAAGCACAAGGAAATAAATGCAAGAAAATCATCAATTAAAGAAAGACAGGATATTATTATAGGATATATGAACAGAAGCCTACCTTGGCCTGTGTTTCTGAGTTATGGATTTATAGTCAAAGATGCTTTGATTTGAGAGAATCCCCAATTCAGGTCAAAATTTGCTCAGAAAACTTGAGGGGTTGCATAAGGATTGGGAAAAGCATGAGCAAACACAAAGTTCCATCTTCTTCCATGGAAAAAAAACAAACAAAAAATTCGACTTTTCTAAGAGGAAATAGAATTGGGGATTTGTTTTCTTTAATTTTTTTTTTCTTCCTCTTGTAAGTTGTAACTTGTGATTGGTGATGATGATGTTGTTTGAAGTATGAAGTTTGATGATTTGAGAAAGGAGAGAGAAAGAGACGAGAGAGAAAAGCCAAAACCCCCAAAAAGGGCTTGTGGGTTGAGCTGAAGGGCAAAGGCAAGAGAGAAACAACAACAGCAACAATAAGAAAAAAATATATATATATTAAGAGACAATTCATTTTTGATATTTTGAATAGAAGAAATGAAGAGAGAGAAGGTTGACTGAATGAGAATAGTCATCTCTGTCTCCCAGACTTGCTCTAAACAATTTCTACAGAGAGCGCGTAAGCGTGTGTTTCATCCGCCGCCGACCCCACTAAAAGCTTTCTAAACCAGGCTGGCGGTTCTACGACTACACCCGCGTACCAACTACTATTCAACTACCGGTTAAAACTTAAAAGTGAACACGCAGACGGCGACGTTTTGTATCTTTGTATTTTTTTTTTTAAACAAAAATTTCGGGTTTTTTTTATACAAATTTATAAATAAACCCAATCCTAGACATGTATTTATAAAAAAAACCCAAGCACTATTTAAACATAGAAACACACCCAAAATTAACCTTAAAGTCAACTTTTTTGGTGTGTTTATAAATGGGTTTTGAGTGTGTGTAATGATGGGTTTTGGGTGTGTTTATAAAGTGTTTTGGGTGTTGGGTTTTTTTATAACTTCAACCTCCATTTTTGGTGTTTTAGTGAAACTCCCTTTTTTTTATTTATAAAAAAGCCTCTTCCTTTCTTTATGATTTATTTGTTGTTTTGCGTTCCTTGTGATTTATTTGTTGTTTCCCATGTATATCAACAAGTAAATTTGGTAACAAATGCTTTCACAATACTAGGGTATATTTAATTAAGATTTTAAAAGATTTTAAAGAAGTTTAAAGATAGGGTTCTTCAAGAATTGAGATTTTAAAATTATGAATTTATTCAATCCAAATTTTGTTAACTCCATTCAAATTTGGATGTATTCAATCATGACTTTAAAATATTCCATAAAAATTTGGGTGTATTAAGAAACTCGTTGATTTTAAAGGAAATACAAAAAGTTGTGAATATCGATTGATTTTAGACTAATTTTAGGCCATTACAATTTTTTTTTAAATTATATTACCACCATCTTGTCATGGCTATCAACACCAATACCCCCACCATCACTCTTACTGTCACCACCACCACTGCTACCACGCCTACCACCTTACCACCATCGTCTCTACTATTTTTACCAACATCAAATATGATGTACCACCACTATTTCGAATTTATAAAAATCTATCAAACTCTATGACAATATTTCAGCAAAATTCATCAAAATTCTTATGAAATTCAATCGAAGTATGTGTGGAGTTTATAAAAGTCAATTGAAATCCATAGAATTCTAACTACTTTAAAATATTAATTGAATCGAAGTATGTGTGGAGCTTATAAAAGTCAAAATTCATCTGGTTATGTAATTTTCCTTTTTCAGTGATTTGTAATGATTTGTGCGGTTTAGAAATCTGACATGGATCCGCAGTGTAATTTCTTTCGACTTCAAAAAATAAAAAATAAAAAATAATTTTCTCGTGCTTTGGACGGCAGGACCACAGGTCAAATTAAACTTTGTATTTTTTTGCTTTTTGTCAATGGTCCGGTGGAATTTTCTCACTGAATGCCAAGCTTTCAAGTGGTGTGGCGGTCAGGTGATTTGGCAGACATCTCTCCATAAGAGAAATAAACAAGAGTGCTGCAGAACTGTACCGTCCCGTCCCATGGAAGTTTTTCTCGCATCGATGCCTCCAGGCAACCCAATAAGCAAAGAGGTGAATAAAGAAGACATGCCAACATGTGCCTATCAATTTGAGCACATTTTCACTTTGCCTCGGCTTCACACTGCATGATGCTTCTACTTGATTATACAATGCCTTACTTAAGCGAGCAACTTTATGCATGGTTCTAATGACTAGCTAGCTACGTTGAGGAAATTCTGGATTTCATGAAATTAAGGAAGGTACTTGCTGAAAATGGAAAGTAGGCTTCGAAATTAAAATCAGTACCTGGACGGCAAAACGACAAGCTAGGTTGTCGCAAATTGCAATTCGTGACCTAAGTAACCATGATATACTTCTACTCAACCCCAACCCGAGTTTAGTTTGCCTGGGAAGGAAGGAATGCCAAAATATCATCCCATGCCTACTTAATATCCTTCTCAAAACTATAGGTTAAACCTCTTGGCAATATGACCAAAAAAAAAAAAAAAGGCCTCTTGGCAAAAAGACTCGAGGTTAAACCTACTGGAGTAATTCTGAGATGGCACTTACTGCTCACGGTCTGCAATAACAAGCAGCTAGGGCCAGGGGCCTAAAAAGTTGGGGAGGGTAGTTGATCCCCAGCCATCCATGCTGCTGGACATATGGCTCTCGCATGAGGCACCGAATATTTTAATAGAACCATTAGAAATGTCTACAAAATTGATATTCACATTATGTCACCTACTACTATATCAATTGGGCACAGAAACATTTACCTCAATAACATAGATTGAAAAGATCCAGAAGTTCACACACATCCCTTCGTCAGAGGCACAAACAACAGTAATAATTAACTTCAATATTCCAACCTTCTGCTGCATCACTTCCATGAATATACAAGTTCGTTCGAATTTTCTTTGAATTCTCCCTCTTGTGCACTTCCAAACATAAAACGTTGCCGGCACCTTTTGAAGTCTCAACACCAGAGTTCAAGCATCCAACTGTCATCACTCACCGCCCATACAGAACACCAACAGGTTTCAAACTGCTTCCCATTTCCAGAGCTACGAAGTTTGCAGCCAATGTAACAGAAAACATCATCAAATTTCTTCTGCAAATATGATATCAAAGATGGATTGAACTGCAAACAAAAAATTTACCAGTCGGGATGAGTTTAGTACTTCAGTATCATCAGTAAAAGTTAAAAAAGATGCCAACTACATAAAATAAACAATTACCGAGAAGACAACTACACAAATTAAGTAATTATCAAAGAGCAAACAGAATGAGATAACCTGAAGTGTGGATATTATAATCACGTCGACCATAAAAGTAGGTGACAGGCTAACACAGTATTTCATATACATATTAAAGGTGTCACCTAGATAAATCAGCACCAAATATCAAACTAAGAAGTAGGATGAAGGTTTCAATTTTGATTCCATATCAACCAACTCTTCAAAAAACAGCCATAACACAAAATCTTTATGCTCAAGAAAAGATTACAAATGGCTCAACTTAGCATATTTATGTGAAAATATTGTTATAATCTTCCACACATTATACAATTTTTCTTACCCTCCTCATTCGGGATGTTAGGCTGATCAACCAAGAGCTGCTGGAGCGCTCCCAAATCACTCGCACTGGAAAATTGATTATTCAGGATAAGCATACCATTGTTATGACACCATGGTAAAATCATAGAACTTAAATAAATCTTAAAAAAGAAAGAAAGAAATGAAACATCTTGAAATACAAACATGGTAAAATATGGGTTACGCATCTGCAGATTACACCTAAGTTCCAAAATATGTAAAATTTATAGTAGATGGAGTCTAAATAAAGCTGAGTCTACAAATTCCCTCCATCCACCAATCCCAGGCCCAGAAAGAAAAATGAAAAATGAAAAATGGATTGGACAACCAAGATGGGTGTTGGTATTGACAGTTCATCCTCCCTCGACATTGGTAAAGAAGAAAAACAATAATCTATTATAAAGAACATCTTCCAGACTACCATTGACTCCCCTCAAATTTGAACAGATCAAGTTCCTAAACAAATCAGAAAGGTAAAACTAGCAGTTCTGGTTAGAAGACAAGTGCATCACACACCTGGGTTTCAAGGTAAGCGCTGAGAGTGCTGAAACCACTGATGATTTCAAAAGGTACCTGATAAAGGAGGGAAAGAAAAACGTAAATTATGCATGAACTAGGTTAAAGTGATCTCGACCCATATATAACCAGAAAACAAGTTCAATTATACTAGTTTGTGTGCGTGCGTGGGAAGGAGTGGGCCAGATATATCTGCAGCAATTTAGATAAACTTTCTGATATACCAACACCATAAGTGACAGGAACTATAGGAATGAAATCTGGCAACACCTCATTTGACATTTTAAAGCTAACAAGGAACACATTTATCATTTACGACATGGAAAGTTACATACTCAGAGCAATGCATCTCCTGAAGAAGCATAAGCCCATCTAAGCAATCTGCAAGACTGGGTTTTACACCAACTCGTTGCTGCAGTTGTCTTATAGTCAGCTGATTAGAACCACCACCTTTCACCATCTGCCTACCATCACGATGAATCTTCCCAAAAGACAATACAATTCCATGAAACTCTTCCCTGAAATTAATAACATAAATTCAACTTTTTCTTCTTCCTTTTTTAAAAGAAACATATATATATATATATAAATGGCGGGCTTAAGACAGTTTCATGAAATTTAAATCCTATTTAAAAATGATTACTGCCAATACTTAAATGCAGATGAGCACCATGGTTGCCTTGTAAGAATAATTGAAGTTAAATACAATAAACACATGAATTACAACATGAATAAAGCATACTTATCGATTGAGAAGAAGACATGACAACTATGGTAATGATCTTCTTCCCTTTGCAACACCAGAATGTTCTTGCTATCAATAGGTCAAGCACGCCACAGAACTCGTGTATTGTGAGAGGAGGGACCAATTCTTTTATATTGAAGAAACCTTAACACTATCTCTCAGCAGAGTTATCGATTGATTCTTACTCAGTGAAGAAGACATGGCATTAACTAATAAACATAAACCCCATTATCTCATTCTAATACGATAATCATAACAAGTGATTAGGCCAACTGACATAAGTCATCTTACATGCCCCATAATTTGTCATTAAAATAAAAATTACAATTAAAGAAAAGAAGAGGAACAAAGGAAACCTACATGGTTTTGTTCATGGAAAACAAGATTTTCTGCAACGACTCCATCTGCTTCGCCAGTACTGCCTCTTGAATACCAACAACGTCCTTCAAACGGACATACTTCTTGGAATCTCGAAGCACCTAATCACAACCCAACAACCCGAAATTCTAAATGAACAAATAAATAGTTTTTTTTTTTTTTTTTTTGGTAATAAAAATAATAATAATAAGAGTTTAGTGGCATATGCAGTAGCAATTGGATAAGGAGAGCGAGACCTGCAACCTCTGGATGATGGAGGAGGCGTTCCTAAACTGTGAAATCAAGCGCGACTGAAGCTCGGACCAGCGGTCCATCTCATCCCTGACCTTCCTGAACCTCTGCTGGTATTTCTTCACCATCGCCTCCATCGCATACCACACCACAGAGACAGACTCAAACAGTGACTCAAATCCAAACTAGGAGGAGGAGAGGGAGAGGGAGGGGAGGGGGTTAGCCGTTGGTTTGGTCCCACCCAAGTATCCGGTTAGGTTAGGTTAGCTATGGCGTTGTTGGGCCCCCAATTCAGAAGTCCATTTTGCTTATTTTGGGCATTAAGAGCATTTCCAGCAGCTAAGGCTGGGCTTGGGGGGGTGTCAGGCCAAAAACACGTTTCCAGTAACAAGGGCCAGCCCTGGCAGGAGATGGGGCCCATGAAACCAGGCCAGCCCTCAGGCAAGATCAGCCCGGGTTTGCTGACGTCAGCAACAACAAAAATTACAAAAAAATTCAGAATTTTTTTAAAAATAAATACTTAGTCATAGTTTTCACTTCCCACATCAAAACTCTATAAATTTCTCACCTCATATCTCATATGAATAGTTATTGCCATGGCATTTGATGGAAACACCACAACTTTTTATAAGGGCTGTTACTATTCATGTGAATAGTAACTGCCATGGCGGAGCGCCTGCCCCCCCCTCCCCCGGCCGCCATGGCGAAGGGTAAATTGTTTGGAAGTGCTCTAATGAGAGGAGTCGTTCTATGGTGAGAGTGTCATATACATACCATAGATACAAACCTTCATATTAAGCGGGTACGTTAAGGAGATCTAGCCATCCAATAATGTAAAGATATATTATTGAACGTAAATATTTTCATTCTTCATATGAGTATTAAAGTCACCCTCATTATATCATATCCCCTCCTCATAGCCTCTCTGGTTGATAACTAGTCGATGAGCAAAGCGTAACGCTAGAATATGAAGTTCTGAGACAGGCGATATTGGCAAATGGTACACCGGCTTGAACAAATAATGAATTTTCGTCAAATAATACAATACAACCATACAAACAACAATAAAAGGTGTCCAGCGATTGTTCTAAGCTATACATCACACAAAAATTTGGCTACAACAATGAACCCTCAAACAAAATGGGGAAAACATGTTGACAAATTGGGGCTTCTTGTGAAGGTACAATAGATTGGATTGCGCATTAGAAAGCACTCCAATTATCAGAACTTTTCTTTGATGTTTGACTATCTGATGAGACCTTGAATGGGCCAGACGATCCAAATGGATCTGTCTCGTCAAAAGAAAATGCACTCTGGCCGAAATCTTTTGTGCTGTTTATGGAATCGAACCTTGTGAGCTGCTCACGCCCTTGGCCGAAGTCCTTGCTGCTGCTTATGGAATCAAACCTTGTATGGCCAAAATCTCTAGTGCTATTCATGGAATCGAACCTCGTGAACCTCTCCGGTTGCGAAGAAAACCCACCGTCATGCCTGCTGCTGCTGAAGGAATCAAACCTCGAGAAATTGTCAAAGTAGTGATCCCCAGCCTCACTGTATCTTGGAGAGTTGCCAAATTTGGAGAGCGGAGTGCTAGGAACAGAGTCTTCAAAGAACAGGCTCTTTTTCTGAAAGGTGGTTTCTGCATGGGGGGATCCAGTTCTTACTGGGTGAAGACCAAAGTCATCTGATCCAAAGAAATCCCTATGCTTCTCAGAATCTGACCCCTGCAAATTGACATCAAACATGGGAAATGTCAATACATTTGGTGTAATCATTAATCAGGAGCTAGAATGGTGTTTCGGGATGTCCGGGCTCACCTTGGTGTTAAAACCCCACACAGAGTCAGTATCATCATTATTGTCAAAGGCGCCCCAGGTTGACTCATCAAAACTTCTGTCACCAGAAATATATCAAATCAGCAATAGCATGTAGATAGGGAGATGAAAGTGGAAGTTTTTTTTTTGTTGTGGTGAGAAAAAGGGGGGGGGGGGGGGGGGGGGGTTTAGGGGGGGGGGGGGAGGCATTAGAGGAGGAGGGTGGGTCCTTTAAAAATTGGCCGCCACATTGATAAA